TGCTAGCCCATTATACTGGTATTCTGGAGATTAAAATGGGCATGTGGGCAGATATCATGCCAATTTAATCTCTGTATAAGCAGACTGACGGTGACTTTTTTTGGTCCACAACTAAGCTGTGTACCCTAGGAGGTAATACCTATTGATTCCACAGAAAATATGCTTTGAGGTTAAACTCAATAGGGTTCCTGCTATGGATTATTTCTTGTGAGATGAACAAACTGAAGTCAACCCCTGGTGATGTGTATGGAAACAAGTCACAGGTGCGAGGTGGTGATAACATGAATTTGCGTTTGAAATATGAGCCCTGCCAGTATTTCATGTTACGAGATCAACATTCATAAGTGTTAGTTACGAGTAGTGTGTCTCAGACCTGAGGGCACCTTAGATTTGTTTGTTGGACTATAGAATGGTCTTAACAATTATCACCTGTTGCAACCCTATTAATTGACTAATCTTTGATAAGCTGTTAGAAATGAAATCCTAATCTGGCTGCAATATGTTTATGGTGAAGGAACATGCCTTGCCAAAACTTCAATTTCTGCATGTGACAAAAGGTGAAGGACATTGTTCCTTAGTGGCTTGGTACAAAAAGAATTTTGCTGTTGAAGAACTTCAGGAGATCTTTTTTGGGCATTGGCTGTCACTTTCAAGTTCCACAATTAAAACTGATTTTAAAAGTTTGCTGTGCTACTGTTATGAATGAAGGTCACAGATTTATGAAATTGTTCTTTGTTTGAAACTTGAGGTGTTCTTTTGGTTGAAAATCTAGATAACTTCCATGAGCAAAGGCTGGAATTGCCAATATGGAATCTTTACATGTAATACTGATAATACAGCAGTTCTGTTACTTTTGCGTGTGTTCAGTGCTTGGTGTTTAAAGGTAAGTATATGAACGACTAGGTAGCCTGAGAAGAAATTGGGAAGTCGTTACCCAAGTGTTGCACACATCAAACTGTTTGTGGAGTTTGTTCCCTGGAAGATTACATGACATAAAGGGGAATGTAGCTGAAGAATGTCTTAATGTTGCAGTCTTGGGTAATGATATTGAAAACTTGATGTCAGCCTACTACTGGGTTGTCTTACTTAAAGGGATCACATTTGGAAAAAAAGCTACATAGTTTTTGTGTCAGGATGGGGTAGGAAAACCCAAATATTTTAAGTCACTGTGAGGTAAAAATGTGATTTTAAAAAAAAAAAAAAGTAGTAAATTTAGTTTTCAGGTTAGTGGATGGGTTATGCTATGGCAATGATCTGCTATGCTTAAGATAACATAGTTATTGATAATTTTCAATAATTTATATATTGCATATTCGCTATTGTATCACTACTGCCATTGACTATGTAACCTGTCAAAATCTTTTACAGACTATGTGTCCTGTCTGTTTGGACCGCCTGAAGAATATGATCTTTCTCTGTGGCCATGGAACATGTCAACTTTGTGGAGATCGAATGAGTGAATGCCCTATATGCCGCAAGGCAATTGAACGAAGGATCCTTTTGTATTAAGTAGTGGAACCAGTGTCTTTTATTAGCTTATGAAATAGTAAGGACATTTTGATGATTTAAATCTCCGTATGTTTGAAAGGCAGCAAAGGGTTTTGATGAAAACATTTCTAGTACTGTAGCGCAGGTTCATTACATGGTAATTGTTTAAAGACTGTGAATACACCAAATAAAAAAAACAGTATTTGAACAGCTTTTAGCTTTACTTTTAAAAAACATCTAAGCTGGAAGCTAATTTAAAGCGATGGTTTTTTCATTTTCTTTGTCTTCTTCTTCCCCTTAAAGTTTAAAGGGACAACCTCATTTTGGTTTCATTCATGTTTTTTAATGTATGTATCAGGTGTCAAGTGATGTAAGGGGGTTTTTTTATATTGTCAGTTAATATCAAATACAAATTTGTTTTGTGCTTTTCTGGAGAATGTTGAAATTTCCTATGACAGTTAGATTCACAATAATTTCTGTCTTGAAATACACAATAATGCAAAACTAATACAACGTGTACACACAGTAGTAATAAATACACTATTCCCATAAGATCAGGCCTCAAACTACAACGTTAAGGTAATTCTAACTTTTATCATGCCCTTTGTTGCTGAGGGTGGGTTGGGAAGGAAACAGTAAAAAGAGCAATGTAGTCTAGAAACATTATGTTCCGAAAACTGCACTTTAGTCTAACAGGTTCAGGCTAACTTAAACGGTGAAATTCTGCTAGCCTCATAATTTTCTACAGAACTGCTTTTAACTTTACCAGCAAGGAAGGCAGTGGGTCAGTTATCCATTTCAGATGGGTGAATTTGATCAGTTGTAGAGGAACATACACATATATGGGGCCATTTAAAAAATCGGGGTTTATGAATTAGGAAAAACGAGAGATTTTGCAAGATTTTTCTCTCTTAAATTAGTTTTATGGTCTCCAGGCAAACTGTCAACAGCAAAAGAGAAGATTTAATATTGCTTCTTCATCTAAGTTGGGCGTTAGTACCAGAACTTAGCTATGAAAGTTACTGGGAAATACTGCAAATGAAGATAATACTGACAGTGAATTTTGAGAGCCATGCGTAGGTGAGCTGAAGTTGGCTGAAGGACTTAGCTGTCACTGATGTGAGCTAGAGCTAGAGAGGTGTCCTGACCCCAAAAATGCTACTGTCAGGGAAGGTAAACTATTAACATTTTGATAACATGTACATCCTTCCATCTTTTTGGATCGAAGAAAGTATGCTAAAAGGAATGTGTGCTTACTCCCGAGTGAATGGGCAGTTTTCTGAGTGCAGTTTATGTAGCCCTTTGCCGTTGTGCAGACTCTCTTTGGATGTGCTCTTGCAGAACAATAAAGAAATCCATGCTGGAGTCACTTAGGTACCTTACTTGCAGCTAAGATGAATTTCTCATTTAATTCTCATTGCATATATAAAAAACGTGGAAAAAGGGATAGTTCAGGGAAAGATCCAAGTAAGGATAAAGGCATAAAATTGTGATCTCTTCAGATAAATCGATCTCAGTCTTTTGAAGCTTATGTTGATATGCCTGAATTATGCAAACGTTGGCAAAAGTCTCAAAAGAATGTTACTAGTAAACTGTAAAGACAGGCAAACTTTTGACCAGTAAGGTTTGAACACTGAATAGAGTTTTCCAGGAAACAACTGCAGTGATATATCGGAAAAATGTACGTAGAGTGGCTTTTAAAATAGTGAAGTGATGCAGTACACAGCCTTTCTACAGCCATCTTTAATCCTGATCCAGAATTGCAAATGTTGATTCTTTTCGGTAGTTTCTCATTGGACACAATCTCAATCTGGAGTCGATACAGCAGTCTGTTTTATTTTGTATACTAGTAGTCATCTGTTCTCAGATAATCTGTGTATCTGTCGTCTTGGCCAAATGAAACGGCCCTCCTTTTTCTTGCTTCTTGGGTCCCCATTCTAAAATACCAAAATTTCGAGGAGCTTTGTAAAGTTTTTGATGTAAGGCTTTTTCAGTTTAGCATTTCACTGTCTCCACTTAAGCTCTGAGTGTTCACTGCAGTTTTCATTTGACCAATATGCATGTCACTAAGTCTGATTTTTTTGTAGCATGTTTGACAGTTGAACTTTATATGGTAGGCTTCAGTTCTCTGTCAAGTCTTCCTCTAAAAATGATTTTATAATAGGGTATGCCGTTTGATGATCCATTGTGACTTTTAGCCTGTAACACATCAGATCTGTACCTCGGTTTCCTCTGGCTCTGGTAGGTGTCTTTTGAATACTGTGTCCTGTTTATTCTTCAAGAGAACCTCTGTAAACTGTTGTCAGCATAAAGGCGGGGCGGACTTCTTGATAATGCGGCTCAAAACTGAAACCTCAGTGTGGCTGTTGGCATTTTCCTAATTCTTTTTTTATTGGAACAAGCCAGAATTATTTGCAAATATTCCAACTTAGCATCAACTGAATAGTTCAGCTAAGTAAGGACTGATCTAAAGCATCCTGGGTGGGAAACTGGAGTTGAATGTTAGATACTGCTTGGCTGCAGGAGGCACGTATTGTAGCGTAGATAGAGAAGTGCTCTGTTAGGCTGGTACTTTTCAACAGAGAAGCTGTAAGTTACTTTATCACACTCTTACTACTTGGATGCCATCACAGTCCTGTGGAAACAGACAGTGACCGAAGGTGTCACCATAGGAGCAGCTGTAGTCTCCTGTCTGTTGTCGCACCAGATGTGTGTGACTGCGTACAAGTTTGTGATTGGACTCACTCAGCCATGTTGTGTGCCGGTTGAAATTAAAATATGTCAACTTGATGCTACGACGGTGCCACGAGAAACGGCTGAGTTAGACAAACCAGGTTAGCTAGCCAACGTGCTTGAATTGTTAGTATAGGCCTCTTCTTGACAGCTGAAAGCTGTGTCTTGTGCTGGGAAGGCTACGCAGTGCTTGCCTTTCAAAGAACTTAATGAGGAAAAATGTTTGCAAATCGAGTATCATTTATGGAAATAGATATTTAGATTCACACGCTGTCTTTGGTATCTGGTGTAGAAGGTGAACTAGTGTTGTTGAGGAAGCCAGTAAGTTCCTACACTCAATTTAGTCTTATCTGTGCAACATGCACAGAGTGCAAATGTTTAATTGGGTAACGCTTAAATAATTGAAAGATGAAAAACAGAAGGTCAGTCGGAAGCCAAGGGGGATCATAACAAAAAGGAGAATGAGGATATGTCATTGTTCCACCGCTTCAGCAAAACTTGAAAGTGTAGATCTGATTATCATCACTGTTATTAGGGAGCAAAATGAAAATGAGAGAAAAATCAGTAAAGGATTTCTCTAATATACTGTAAAACTATATAAGAGTTGCAAGCTTTATTAGGATTATCCCCCAGTATTTAATAGCAGTTTTGAAATGAATGAACTATCTTCGTTTGTTTCTTGAAACAATCAAGACATCTAATAATATATATTGTTCAGGTGTGAGGTTTGCTCAGATGTTTAAGTAAAATACTTTCCATTTTTTTTTCCATTTAGTAAAATACATAAATGGTCACATCAGTACACGGTGATTTAAGGTATAAAGACAACCCAAGAGGCTAACAGAATATGCTAAACAGTTGTAGCTTGTTAACTTCTGTATATTTGACTTTTTTGCCCAAACCTACTGTCTTATCACTCACTGTACCCCAAGCTCATATGGCACTTCCCAAAATTTGGGCTATTATTACATACTTTGCAGTTGTTGAAATACTGTGTACTTGTGTGTTGGGGATGGAGGAATCCCTTTTCACTGAAGTGGATACTGACAATTACAGTGACAAGAGAATAAACAAATTACTTTGTAAATGTGGAAGTTTGATTAGGAGGTGTTGTTCTTAACTTGGACTGGGTGAGGATATAGCGGATTTGCACAAGTACTTGTGCCTTGTTAGCATAGTCTTACAATCGGTATTTTAGCTTCTTTCAAAGACGTGACATGGTCTTTAAAAACAATCTGATTTCAGTACTTATTGTGTAGATATTTTCTAGAGATGAAGTTGTGCGTATGCCTAATTAGCAGTATTAATTGCAGTTTGTGTAAACGCTAAGTTGTTTGAAGAAGCTGCTTTGAGCTGGTGGTCTAAGCTTCCTCTACGAAATCAGAAACTTAATTTTACTTTTCCAGTAGCAGCTGGCGTACCGAAGAGCCTATCCTGTTCTTTGTGCTGCATGGGTCGAGTTTTCACTTAAAAAACCCAACAACACTACAGCCTAACTTGTAGCAGTGCTGCCTCCTTTCTGTCAAAGTACTGAATTCTCCTTTAGTTGTTCTTTGTCTTTGGGAAGGGATGGGGAACTCATCAGTTTTGGTTTCGCTTCATCAGTTTCCATACATTGCAAAGGTTTTTTACTGCCTGGATAAATGACGTACAATAGAAGCGTGCCGTTTGCCACGATGTACGTTGTGTATCGTTCTTGCAAAGGTTGCTTGAACTCACGCTGTTGTCTTTTTATGTATTTCATAACTTGTTTGTATTGACAAAGCAAAACTGTTACCCGCAGAAGTTTAGTGCCATTTTTGTAGCTAAGCCTGTGGTAAATACAGAAGTTCTGACTCAGGGCTTTTTAACAACTTAAACACGTTCATGACATTCTTCAGCACATGTTGGAGAATATGAGAGATTTAATGACTGTACAGTGCCTTGATAGAACTGTTGAATGGGCGGCGGCCACTAAGTCGTTACAGAATGCAAGTGGGGTTTGAATCCAGTTAATGAGTTGATGTTAATATAATTGTAATACCCCTGTCATGGATTTATAAACTTGTATGTACTTTCTGTAAAGGAAAATTGGCAAACTTAGGTATTGTTGAGCTTTCAGAAAGTTGTTTGATTGTTAGACCAGTCATGGGGGTCTGAAGGGCATAGTATTCAAATTTACAGAAGCAGCATTTGTGGTGAAGACAGCTGATAAAATGTTCTGTAGGTGACATTTTTAGTGTGAGGGGAGAGGTCATTGTATAAACAAACATATAAAAATAACTGTTTTATTCTGGCCCAGTAAGTCTTTTATAAGAGAGAGAAATAATTGGCAACAAGTCTTACGTTTGCATGCCATTTCATAGTTACAAAAATTTAAGTCTCATTTTGAGCTTCTAGGAAATACCTTTTGTCCCAAGCTTAGTGTCTTTATGAATGCGAACTATTCATATTAGAAAGCGGGTTTTACTGAGCCGCAGGAT